AACAGAGGATTTTCTCATAATTTTATAAATAAAAGTTTTTGTATAAGACATCTAATCATATTAGATAAAGTTATAGTCATTGCAAACAATATATAAATAAAATGATAAAATAATACAATTATTCAACATAAAAAGTGTTTAGGATTTCTAAATATAAGAACATATCATTGCTGATGACAATCTGTTTATTAGCAAAAAAAAAAGATATCAAACCAGTCATAAATATATGAGCTAATTAAAGCTTTTTAGTATTCTTCAGCGCCTTCTCCTTCACCTTCAGCGGAATCCATACCGACTTCTTCATAGTCTTTCTCAAGAGCCGCCAGATCCTCACGTGCTTCAGAAAATTCACCTTCTTCCATACCTTCACCGACGTACCAATGAACAAATGCACGTTTGGCGTACATAAGATCAAATTTATGGTCAAGACGGGCCCAGGCTTCTGCAATAGCAGTAGTATTCGACAACATGCAAACAGCACGCTGTACTTTGGCAAGATCACCACCAGGTACCACAGTCGGCGGCTGGTAGTTGATACCAACTTTGAATCCAGTTGGACACCAATCGACAAATTGAATAGTACGTTTCGTTTTGATGGTAGCAATTGCAGCATTTACGTCTTTAGGTACAACATCGCCTCTGTATAACATACAGCAGGCCATGTATTTTCCGTGGCGAGGATCGCATTTCACCATCTGATTAGCTGGCTCGAAACACGCGTTTGTAATCTCTGATACAGAGAGCTGCTCGTGATACGCCTTCTCTGCGGAAATGACGGGTGCGTATGTTACCAAGGGGAAATGAATTCTTGGATAAGGTACTAAATTCGTTTGGAATTCAGTCAAGTCAACGTTCAGTGCACCGTCAAATCGTAGAGAAGCTGTAATGGAGGACACAATTTGACCAATCAATCGATTTAAATTAGTATAAGTAGGTCTTTCGATGTCCAAGTTCCGGCGACAAATATCATAAATAGCTTCATTGTCGACCATAAATGCGCAATCGGAATGTTCAAGAGTAGTGTGCGTGGTTAGAATTGAATTATATGGCTCGACAACTGCGGTGGAGACTTGTGGAGCAGGATAGATAGCAAATTCTAATTTTGACTTTTTGCCATAGTCTACAGAAAGACGTTCCATCAAAAGAGAGGTAAATCCAGAACCAGTGCCACCTCCAAAGGAGTGGAAGATAAGAAATCCTTGAAGACCTGTGCATTGATCAGCCAATTTACGAATTCTGTCCAATACAAGGTCTACAATTTCTTTTCCAATTGTATAGTGACCACGGGCATAGTTGTTGGCTGCATCTTCCTTGCCAGTGATTAGTTGTTCTGGATGAAACAGCTGTCGATAGGTACCAGTGCGTACTTCATCTGCAATGTAAAAATTAATTTAGTTATAAATTTTCATAAACAATTATACATTACAATTTAACAGAATAAAAAGATATTAACCAACTACTGTGGGTTCCAAGTCAATGAAGACTGCTCTAGGTACGTGTTTTCCTGCACCAGTTTCGCTAAAGAAGGTGTTGAAACTATCATCGCCTCCACCAATAGTTTTATCAGATGGCATTTGACCATCAGGCTGGATGCCATGCTCCAGACAATATAATTCCCAGCAGGCATTTCCAATCTGGACACCAGCTTGTCCAACATGGACTGAGATACATTCACGCTGAAACAAGAATATAAAATATATTATTCATACATATATTAATTAAAGAAATTACAAATTATAAAAGTAACTAAATATTCTATAGTTAATAATCTCCATATTAAATTCTTAATGATAGATACCAATTTTCTTAGAAATAAAAAGTTGACGTATCTATAGTTAAAGTTAAAATTAAAATTTTAATTAGTTTAAAATTTTAAACAAAATTTAAAACAAAATTTAAAATTTTAATTGGTTAACAACCAATGAACAAAGTTCAATGAACTCGATTATTCAGATATTTCTAAAAAACAAATCATTATTTTGTTGTTCGTTATATAAAATACAGAGAAATATATGAAACAATTCGAATAAAAAAAATAATTTAAATGCAAAAAAGAAAGATTCCAAAAATACATCAATTCAAAACGAAGTCGGAAACCGGCCGGCATTTAACCGTTACAAAATGGCTGTTCCCACTCCAGCAACCCAACATTATTTTCCTTTCGTATTCTCTAAAACATTGAAGATAGATCAAAACTTACCATCTTGCAGTGTAATGTCTTCCAAAACTGTTTAAAAAAAAAAAGGAAGTAGAAATGGACGTATGATGTAGATAGTTGGCTCAAGCAAGTAATGGAGCTTTCGCTAACAACTACGGCAACTCCGCCCAATAATCGTCAAACGAATGCATCACCAGTCACTAAAACGGTTATTTATACCTTCGGTCGGCGACTTCGTCACTGTACGCTGATTGGTCGTTGATGGCCTCATTCCCTTTCATGATTGGTCTTTTTTCGACCGCAGTACCCACGAGTACTGAACACACAGTCCTTATACGGAAAATATAGTCCCTTGTATTAACGACATAATTATCTCTTTTTTCAATATTAACAACAGTATAACTTATTTATTACGCTACATTAAATTAATAATAGGTAAAATTGATTTTCAGGTCAAGTATCTGGACAAAATTCGGGAAAATAAAGACGATTTTTTTGTATAAAACTCTAGTTGCGATGCGCGATGGTTTCTTCCATATTTGGATTATGCATTCTGATTGGTGACTCACGTAATTCGTATGAATACTTACCTCCCTTGTAACAAAATATAATCCATTTCTGTCATGAAATATCGCAAATCTAAAGATATTACGTCAAAGATTTGATTAAAGAAAATTATTTTCTTTCTTAATTATCGTGCAGATTGTTATTATTTCCTGCACATATATATCAATGATATATTAAATAATATTATTATATTAAATAATATAAATAATATCTTATAAATAATTTGTACATTTGATAATTTTTTAATCATTTTGCAATATTTCTTTATACTTGATATTTGCTTAAGAAAGTAATTCATTTTACATATTAATATAAAATTATAAATTATAAAATAAATAAACCATCTTTTACTAAACTGTATGTTTATTTATATTTTTTTGTTATTTGTAAGTATTTATTTCGTACAAAATTTATAATTGCATAGTTAGTAAATATAAAAAATATTTATATATATGTATTTATCTTTAAAACTTCAATATTTTTCCTTCATGCACTTCAGTATAATACAATGTTATATAATATTGAAGTTTATATGAACTTTTTACATGCATTAAAAAGAATATAAAACTTTTTCATTTGGCAAGATCTTTTTTATTTATATATAAAATTTTAAAACATTTGGATTATGTACACCTAATTAGGTATTGATCTTGTCTCTGTCATATACCGAGTGTTTCATAAATATGACAAAATTGAAATCTTAAAAATACATTAAAACTGTTATATGGTACATTTTAACAATTTTATGTTGTATGTTACAGTTTCGTTTGTCATTATCAGGAAATAACAACAAAATTAATATAGTGAAATATTAAGAACAATAAGAAGAAACGATAAAAACAAAATGATTTAAGAATATTCAAACATTTGATTCGACATTATATGTAAAGACAGTCGTGATTTTTTTGAGATATGAAATATTTGAGACTAAAATATTTAACTCATTAAGTGCAGAAAACGTATATTAATTTATTACAAGAAAAATAGTACAAAACTAAAGTAAGGAACGTGATTCATAAACTTTGGTAGATTGATTATACAATGAATTGGAGTTGATCTACATACTTCCTGCACACGAGTACAGACCGTATCCGTTCTCTACTTTTGATTCTGCGATCTCACCTTACTCTGGTTCTGTCCTCATTATGGTCTTGTATCTCCTTCGATCTTGTGAAATATTTCGATCATAAAATCATGCAGGGAACACAATAACAATGACAATTAAATAACAATAAAATGATTTATTCAAAATTTACTTTTTTAACTTCATCTCTCTCTCTCTCTCTCTCTCTGATTCTAATAAAATAATAAAGTTATTTTTGCAATTGAAGAATCGTGTTTATCAATGATCTTTTACATAGGGTACATTCTTAACTAATATTCTCAATTGAAATAAATAGAATAAATTATTAGCCAAAATCTTACTACTAATTTTAGTTTATTCTACTAATTCTTGGCCATGTGCAATATTCTATATATATTAATGACTAAATTATTAAAAATGAAATTATAAATTTCCTTTAATAACCTATATGTATTTATAAGTTAATTCATTTTCTGTTAAAATCTGTTAAAATCTGATACTGACAATTCCACGTTAAACAATTATTCCTTGGACTAATATATTTTTGTGTTTCCAGATGCCGCTTTCATCGTTTAAGTGTTGCTAGGCAACGTTTTCAAAATAAACATTAAATTACGCTTGAATAAATATATGTAAATGAATCAAGTAATAAAAATATATTAATTATATTGATCTTATGATTAGTTTGTAATTTATTAAGAAATCATGTTTTAAGATATGTAATATATGTAACATTAATATGTTCAGTGAGGACATTGATTTTATCAAGGGATATGCAAAGCATGTGGAAGATGAGAAACAGCAAGATTTAACTCTTTGTTATGCATATCCTATCGTAAACAAAGTTCCTGAAATTAATGTTCTTGTAAAAGGAACTAAAAATTTGCGAAAACAATGTCAAGAAACTACTTTAGTTGAAGATGGATTATATGCTTCTAATTTTCCATTTGTTTACAGCGACATTAAGCTTCCTGAATTTAATAACTTGAAAGTCTTAGAGTATGAATCAAAACGAAAGTTCTCTGGTAAATTGCTAGAAATTGTAATTCGTGAAGTAAACATTAACACAAGTCAATCAGATTCTATTGAAATTACATCTGTTCATTTGTTATTTAAAAAGAAAGTTATATGTAAAACAAGTAGTCCTTTCAATAGAAAGTTACATAAATTGTTAATTAAGAATTCTGAATGCAATAATCTTTCTATACAAGTACATACCAAAAGTGGTCAGTCTAGTATCTTGCCATTGCCATTACCAAAGCGGAACATTGAAAACTATAAAACAGAAATAAATTTTGCAATAGCTGACAGTTTTGGTAGAATACATGCTGGAATAGTCACTTGTGCAGTTACTCTAAGTAGATATGGTGAAAATGAAGAAGAATCATATATATCTCATCTTTATAAATTAAGTAATGATCCAAATGATCCACAAAACAATTTGTCTTTACTTAGGCCACCAAAAAGCATTCATAAAAAGCAAGTGAAATATTTTTTATTGGAAAATGCAGCATTAACTCTTGGCAAAGATTCAGAAGCTATCACTGCTAAGAAACATGAAAGAGAAGAAACTAAATATCCAGATATAGCTATAACAGAACAACCTGCATTTTCTTTATTTAATATATCATTCAGGAACTTATTCCAAGTTAAATACCCATCAGAATCATCATCTAGTATCCGCAGACACCACACAATAGGAAAGACAATTTTGTCTGCAACTATTTTACGAGGGATAGAAATACCAATTAGAGAAGAGTCTGCACTAGTTCAACCATTTGTAGAAGTTGAATGGGGTAATATAATACATGCAACATCTATAGCAGAAGGTTCAGCACCTATATGGCAACAAACAATGTACTTTGAATTACCCAGACAAAATGAAGAACATTGTATAAAGCTTCGTTTGTTTGATCAACATCCTGTGTGGGGTCAACAGTGGATAGGTGAAGCTAGAATTCCTCTTGAACATCACAGAAATTATCAAGAACTCGAACGATGGATTACGTTGTCTCCATTATTTAGTCCAAATTTGTTATTTGGATACATACAAGCTAGTCCTGGTCAGCCGTGTACTCGTATTTATGTTCTGATTAAAATAGATCATCCAGGTACTTCTAAGTCGGAAAGTACTACTACAAATACATTATTAAAAGGAATTCAACGATGTCTTGTTACATCGTATAAAATTAACAGTATAGAAAATCCAAAAGATGCTGCAAGATTAGTGATGCTTTTACAATCATTGCCTAATCATTACGGGCCAATCACGCCACGTCAAGCATTGAACATACGCAAAGTGGATCACTATGGAAGAGCAGCTCTACTTGCAGTATTATTACAAGGTTTCAATTTAGAAACATATGTTTTATTGGGTATGTAATAAGTAAATTATTATGTTTTCTATTATATAAATATTTATGAAATTAAGTTTATTAATGCTTTTTATGTTAATATAATAGGTTCTTCTCAGATAAGTAAATGGACATCATTTGTTTTAAGTATCAGTGAAAATGGAATATATACGTTATGGGATACAGAAGTTGGAAATTATTATAAATTAGATGATAGCCATTGTCCTTTAATGAAAGTATCTCGACTAATTAATCATTCTGGTGTTAGTATAATAATTATTATTACATCAATTTATTTAAAATAATATTCTATTTTATCATTATAAATTGCATATTTTTTAGATATGGGAAAATTTGCAAAAATCTGTCTTGCCCTATAATCTCAAGTACAACGTAAAATTAAATAAAGAATGGCGATCTGTTGATGTTATTATTTCAACCAAAAATGATCATACTGTTCAAGTATTAGATTTAAGTATTACAGAGGAAGAACTTAGACAAATTAAAAAAACTGCTATTGATTTAGAGCAGTCTTTAAAAGATAAATTAGCTCATTGGCGTAGCACAATTGGTTTAACAACAATCTTTAATCGACATGCTATAACTATTTTACGAAACTTTATTTCTAAGATAGAGCCTTCTTCAGAAATACAATTGGATAAGAAAGATTTGAAACAATTATACAGGTCTTACCACGTCCATGGTTTTATTTTAAATAAACGTGAATGCAGCATCGATGATTTGAGTGAACATTTACGCGCAACAAAGATTTATGATATTAATGATCCAGTTGAGTTTGCTCTAGTATGTCAGATACAGCCTTACATCGGTAAAATTTCATCGATATGGTTGGCTGTTATAATTCTTAAAAGTCGCGATTAGTTGTTTCTTCGAGTTAACATCAATTTTTATATTCAGTTATATACTAGTCACAATTTAATATTTACTTGAATTGTATTTATTTATTATATATTTATATACTGCATTAAAATTAACATTACAGTGTTCGTGAAGTAGAATAATTATTCATTTTGTGATACCGATATTTTATAAGGTTTTGATATAAACAAACTAACCAATACCAACATTCGTAAAATAACGTACCATTTCTTTTTATTATCGAATTATTTAATTCAATAATATATAATAATTTAAATATAAGATTAAAAGTCTATAATACAATAATTTTATAAAAGAATTAAAAATTATAACAATATTGTCTTTTTAACTATATTATCTTTTTGTAAAAAACACAAACTTTTATAATTATATTTTTTGCAAATTTAATATACATTTTTTTATAAAGTTTATATAATACAGTAATTCCTGTAATTTTCTATGAGATTTTGAGTAATTGAGTGAACACCTATAATTTATTTTCTTATTTTGTTACCAAATAATCATACAAAGATCTATTATTCATTACTATTTATTCATTAATACAAGTAATGAGATTAATTTTTAGAACTTTTAATCAAATAAGAAACAGCACTATTTATTTCGGAACTACAGTATTATATCATCCAGTGAAATTTAATACACCAAACAAATATTCTTATACTAAGTATTTAGCCTGATTTTTGATACACACATACCAGATATTATAGTAACAATATACAACATAATAATACATTTTTATAATTTTTTTTATATTTAATTTTGTTACATGTTGATTCGTGTTTTTTTTTTTTGTTGATTGGAAAGATATGATGAATAAATATCATTGAAAATAAACATAATATATTTGTTGGTTTTTTGCATTGCGCAGCAATGCTGTTTTTATAATAGTTGCAATATTTTTACATATTGCACTAGTAATAAAATATACTAACAATGTTTTATTGGCTAATAATTTTTATAAGTAGTTTAAATAAATAGACGTACATAATACAAATGGCCATGATCATGTAAAATGTTTTGTAATGTTTGCGATTTGTATAATTTTTGCGATAATGTATACTTTAGTTTGACGGACGAGTTGAGTTATTAATTTATGCAATGAAATATCCAACTATCCAAAGTCTTGTATATAAAAAGTCTTGTTGTTTTGATATTTTGGTTTGGAACGTATAAAAACTTTTGCACGCAATCAATCACGTGTATTTAATATCTGTATGTAAAATATTAATTGTAGAAAAATGTTTCTTACAAATATTTATCTAACTTATCAGTATTTTACCAATTGACATAGTGAATCAGTTTTTGTTTCATATTAAAATGCAAACGAAAGGATGATCATTACTGTTAGTTTGTTATAAACAAATAGATCTTTGAGTATAATTAATAAAAAAATTTTTATTACATCATAAAAATCATATTCATTAAAACTTCATTAAATAATAAAAATAATGTACAAAGATAACGTTGTAATCGACGTGTAATTTAAATTCAAATTTTTTACAACTTTGTTAATAGTTCATAATCATATTAGAATTTTATTTTCCATTTATTTAAAGAAACTGTAAGATATTCAAATATCTTACAGATAAGAGACTGTAAGATATTCAAATATCACGATACAGTATTACCTAGACGTCAAATGTGCAAGTATTGTTAAACTTTAATGTGACCGTCATATTTGAATTCTAATCTTAAATCTATTGTGAAAAAAAACTAAAGGCAGTTTTCGACACGACGATCTTATCTCGTCTTTTCTTTTATTTTTTTACAAGGCAGATTTGAATCGTCAGTCACAAAACGATCGTTTAGTTTAAGCTTACACAACATTATCATAATTGATCACGCTGGATCTCATATAATTCGCCTACTAAAATGCTAATATACTCGACTAATCTGTATTTACAATATCTTAGATCAGCGGTCTGTTGAACTTTGTGCTGCTCATCCAAGAATAAAAAAATCGCAGGCCGGTAAGTTTATAGTCGCATTTACGTTAATTCGTCAGAGAAACATCGGATTTTTTCATTAAATCCACAATTTCTGCAACGATATATATACACATATATATGTATGTATGTATGTATGTATGTATGTATGTATGTATGTATGTATGTTGCATACATATGTATGTATGTATATATATGTGTGTATATATATATATATGTATGTATGTATGTATATGTATGTATAAGTACAATGTATTAAATGTCGCTCATTCATGAACGAGGCAGTTACAAAGACTGAAAATTCTGGTCAGATTATTATTATCAATTGAATCATTTTTAGAAAAAAATTTCCATTCACTTCGATTTTGTAACTAAATCTACTTGTAGTTTGAATGACGTTTAAATATCTTAATTTAGAAATGCATTTTTCACTGAATCTTTTTGGATACACCATTTGAATATCCATTGGCATGTCCATTCGTAACGTTTCCATTACATACAACTCCGCTGGTAACTTCTTTTTTCAATTGCTTATTCGCTTTCATTTTTTGCAATTGTTTCTCCGCGTATGCTTGTTTACCCTAAAAAATTGATATTATTAAAGTTAATGCAAATATCAAAGAAAAATTATACTGAGGTGATATTTAAAAGAAAGTTAATATTAAAGTCAGAATCAATATAGGAGTATTTTTGAAAAAATTACCTTGGCAATGTAGGCTTTGATATAGAAGTTTCCGAATAAAACGATAAAGGAGATCATGTAAATGACAAGAGCATACTGCATCCAGAGTGGGAAATCGCATCCCGATCGAATGCCATTGATACCAAGGATCAAGGCAGTGGTAAATTGGATTAATTGTAGGATCGTTAAATATTTCTTCCACCAGAGATATTTAGCTACAGACGGTCCCAATGCGGATAAGCCGTAGTATGAATACATAAGGACGTGGATAAAACTGTTCACCATTGCTGGTAGGAAAGCTAAAAGATAAGAATTTTCAATTAAAGATGAATCAAATTGAAATGACAAAAAAAATATTAAAATTTAATACGCATATGATGTTAATAAGCATTTTTTACATTAGTGAAGAGTATTCTTAATACAGTTCTTTCTCTGACAATTTCATGATTTATAAACGTCTAGAGATATATTTTGTACATAATTCAAGAGATATAATTTCATACAATTGCATGAACTTTCTATGAAATTTCTTGATTCATCAATTAATGCGATCAGAATTAACTTCAACTTTGAAAAAATTCATCTATTGCTTAATATAGTTCAAATAATATAGTTCAAACTTGAGTTTCACTACAATGTGATGAATTACCTACCAGTCATAATATAAAAACAATATGATAACATTGCAGCTGTTGTCAAGTAGAAAATCAACATTTTTGTGTGTAATTAATATGGAATGCGCTATATTGCAGATATTTATTAAATGTATCAGCATTTTACATTCTCATCGTATTACAGTTACATTATACCGATTACATTTACATTATATTAAACAATGAATAATTTAAAAGTAAGAAAGAAATGTTTTGAACGAACAGTTAAATTAATGAGAAATATAAATAATCTTGTGTTGTAATATTTTAATATTTTAATAAAAAAAAATTATCGGCTGGAGTGGCTCATTCAATAAAGTAGACTATATTGATACATCAAATACTCCAATTTGAAATTAAATTTAGTTTGATTCAATTTTAATGCTATTTCGAATTAAAAATAATTTTCTTTTCGATTGTTACTTTCGAGAGAAAATAAAATGTCTCTATAAAATAGATGGATCTGAAATTATTTATATTTTTGTAATTAATTGGATAGAGTTTGACACTGATAAATACTTACTGGATCCACTTGGAACCCATTTAATGCCAATCCACCATAACGAAAACATAGTGGAATGATGGTAAACATGAAGGAAGCTTAATTGATTATCTTTCTTTCGTAAGATAAAGAAAAACGTATCACAGAATTCCAAAAGTTTGCTAAAGTAGTACCACCAGACTGCATGAGCGATCTAACAAACAGAAAAAAAAAAGGATAAATATTCAAACATTTATCTTATTTTTTTAATTAATTTAAAAAAGTATATATATACCTGCAATTCATCTGGACGAGTCACGTGCCTAATTGGTTGACACACGTAACTATAACGTAACCTAGTGGAAGCTACGAATAACTGCAAACAACAAATATCACAAATTAAAAAACACGGAATTGGGATTGTGAACCGTTTTAATAAGTGAAAATAATGTACCTGTATCGCGATATACGCGTTCAAACAGGCCATCGCGAGATTATACGGAACAAGTGCCCACGTTAACTTGAAAGCTCTCCGCTTTCTCATAATCTTTGGTCCGGCCCATACGATAAATAAATACAACATCGTATATATCAAAGTAGGTTTTGGCGAGTCGACCAGCAGCCATCCTCTCGTTCGTTCATCTGTTGATGCGTAGAAACGGACACGCGTACGTTACAGTATGAGATGATAAAAATGAAGGAATTATTTACTTCAAATCAATAGAGCATTTTATTTTATTATCTTAACATTGGCGGTTTACCGGCAAGCGACAGCGTCCAGAGGTAATAATCGTAGGCGTCATTTATTAAAGTTGTCGTGGAATTGATTAAGTTTGCCATTGCCTGAAATAAGATTAAGATAAAAATTGTATCACGAGCAGAAAATTCTCGAGTTTTATATAAAAAAGTGAAACGAATGTAAATTGTAATGTTGGCGATTAGAAGCTTGAAAGTTTCAACACACACACCCTATTGTGACGATAATATTAAGAATTTTACTAATATTAATTTACACGATTACACTGTTTAAATTTACGCGCGCGCCTTTAAACATTGCAAATATATGACATTCCCATTTTAATAGTGTATCTTTTTTCTCATTCACGACCTTGTAATAATAATTTTTTAATTCACAAATGATTTTAATTATTTGGTATACAGAACACTAAATACACACATACACACACATTATAATATATATATATATA